TCCCCTCTAAACCCTTCACCAATTTTGTGGTGGGGTGGGAGTCAGTCTCTTCTCCCAGGTAACAAGTGATAAAACAAGAGGAAAAAGCCTCAAGTTGCACCAGGGGAGGTTTAGATTGGATATGAGGAGAAACTTCTTCACTGAAAGGGTTGTCAAGCATTGGAACAGGCTGCCCAGGGAGGTGGTGGAGTCACCTTCCTTGGTTGGATTTAACAGACGGACAGACGAGGTGCTGAGGGACATGGTTTAGAGGTAGAATTGGCAGTGTTGGGTTTATGGTTGGACTCAATGATCTTAAAGGTCTTTTCCAACCACTCCAATTCTAAAATCAGAGAGCAATTTAAGGTACATGCTCTCAAAAGCAACGAAACACCCCAAACCCAAATCACTGTTTGTTTTCAATAAGCCTAAGGAGCTGGGGTGCCAATTTCATTTTTAAAGCATGGCATGGGCCCTTGGAAAGATCTTTTCCTACATAACCTTCCCCAAGGTTTACTTTTTATTTTTGCTATCTCCAGTCTATTCTTATTCCCTGCTTTTCTCATTTGCACAATAACCCAAGTTGCTCTGGTGGCACGTTCCTGCTTGTGGGATGGAATAAATCATTCACGGGTTTCCTTCTGCTGTTGGTTGATTTTTTTTGTTCTATGTGGGAGGATTTATTTTCTGAATTCCTTTTGCTCTGATTTTTTTCTGGTTTTAGTAGCTTGCCTGAAGCAAAGTTGACCCATGAACAGCAAAGGATTTTGAATCACAAAATCGAACATGGTCAAATAGTGAAAATTATGGCATTTGCAGGTAAGAGCCAAAATTTATCTTGTAAGAATAAATGTGTAACCTCTAATTCTGCTCCTTCCCTCCTTGCTACTTCTGTCCAAGGAACTACATGGATACCAGGGGGATGAACCTTACTTTTAATTAATTAAAACAAAAATCAAAGCAAGCTTTTGCAGAGAAATAGGAACGGGAAGCATGGTAGGGGTTACTTCCATGCAAGTAAATGTCACATTTGGACACAAGCATTTGAGTGCTGTCGATGACTTCCCAGAGCAACTTGTCAGGGAACCCAGGAGAGGAGAAGCAACCCTCTGTGTGTTGCTTAGTCACAGTGCTGAGCCTGGTTCACAGTGTTATTGTCCACAGGCCACTAGACCAGGGTTGCTCGTGCTTGTTTAGTTTTAGCATCTCTGTAGGAGCAACACAAGCCAAGAAATCTTCTGCACTTGCACACGTTTTGAAAAGGGGAATTGCATAAAATCAAGGGAGCCTATTTAAAAAGAGGAGTAAATCATCTTCTCTACCTGCAGAGAGTTTCCTTTTGTTCTGGTTTGTAGCTGGGACAGAGCTGGGTTTCTTTTTATAGTAGCTAGTACAGAGCTGTGTTTTGCTTTCAGCTGGGATTTGGTATGAGAGAAATGTTGATAACATCCCACTGGTTTCATTTTGTCGCTAGGAGTGAAGGACTTTGTGTCTGTCTGTCTACAAAAATCATCTTCTCTACCTGCAGAGAGTTTCCTTTTGTTCTGGTTTGTAGCTGGGACAGAGCTGGGTTTCTTTTTATAGTAGCTAGTACAGAGCTGTGTTTTGCTTTCAGCTGGGATTTGGTATGAGAGAAATGTTGATAACATCCCACTGGTTTCATTTTGTCGCTAGGAGTGAAGGACTTTGTGTCTGTCTGTCTACAAGGGCAAGATCTCAGGGG